TTACAGCTTGAGCCTAAGTGTGTCGCAGGATACCCTCTAGGTGATAGTTCTTGATTACTTTTTGATAAATAATTCGTTTTTATTGCGAAATAGGAGCAATATTTATCAATCTGTAATAAAAGACGTGAGAAAATTTTGTCTTTTTTAAAGACAAAAATTTTTGAGGCGAAATACCCAACGAAGTTCCTAAAAAAAAAATGAATCCGCCTCAACAATATAGAACTTATCTACAACCATTAGTTGTTGTTACGAAGTTGAAGAGTTAAAGCTTTATCTTCAGCTCATGGATCATTTAACTATAAATTTAATTTAAAAGCAAGACACCGTGCAAATCACAATATAACTTCTGAAAACTCTTTTTACCTTCTTCAATGTGTTGCTCATCAATTTTGTGTTCTCTGGTGCAACAATTTCTGGTTTACTTGTTTCGGATGTTTTTGGCACCTACTACTTCAATATTGTGTGGTCTTCAATCTTAGTGTGAAGTAACTTGAACTGATTATGTGCTAAGTTATCAGATCAATTTATAAAGCACTAAGCTCTTGGCAATTAATAGAATCCATAGACAGGGTGTCCAAGTAAAGATTGCATTGGAGTCTAGGCTGGTGCAAAAAAATTAATAACAGACAAGGACCAGGGGGAAAATTTTGTTGAGGATATGAATCTTGTCTTGTATTTTTTATTTTTTCTTAAAGTTGGAAACTACAACAGTTTCGACAAGGTCCTTGCCTGTTATCATTTTTTTTGCTAGATGAAAATTTGAATCGGCACTAGTCTATATGGGATACGAAGTCGGTTAAATTAGGAAAAAAGGTGCGCAATCAGAGGAGATTTGTATATGGATTTGAAAAAAGAAGTATTTCTTTTAATTTTTTTTGAGATATTTAGAAGAAACCGGTTTTCGGATTTAAGTTATTTTTCATTTTTGAAGTTATTTCAAATCATATCTAAAAAGAACAATTATTTCTGATGGCACCATTCCTAGTGCTACAAGATGGTGCATATGAAAATGTTTAACAACGTTTCGATTCTTTAAAACCATCATCAACTTTTGTTTATACTCGCATGTACAAATCGCAAAAATCGCATGTACAAATCTGTTTTCATCCCTTAAACTGCATGATTATTTCAACATTTCTAGTGTTTTCGTGGTTGAGTTAATTTGTTTCTTAAAGTTGGAACCTCCACCATATTTTTCATCTGGTCTTTGCCTGTTATTCGTTTTTTTACTATATGAAAAATACAGGACACTCTGTATAGTAAATTATTTCTAAACTGAAGTAATTATCAAATGCTTCACATGACCTACCATTAACCTCTGGAGATTAATACGAGAGAAATAATAATATTTTCAGATTTTTTCCAAAAAATTCCAATTAGTAAAGAAATTAATTTGATAAATTACCTTGACGTTTCGGTAGCTTTTTTCTGCTATCGTTATCAAACAAATACAGTAAAGTCCGCTTTTAATGAACCCGGTTATAGTGAATTTTCGGTTAAAACAAACTTTTTTCCTTTAATTGAAACGTCATCCATAAAGACCAACGTATTTTTTTACTGGTTATAACGAACTTCCGGATAAAACGATCACTTTTTAGGTTAGTTGTATATTCACTTTCCGTTTATAACGAACTTCCACGCTTAGTCACATCAATCCTGGGGAGTTGTTTATATTAGTGAGAGCGAGAGACAGCCAATGACTTGTTGTTTTTTGCCGCGTTATGTATGTAAATCGTTTTAGAATGGAAAAACAAAAACGCAAAGCTTTTTCACTAAATGAAAAGTACGAGATTATTAACAAAATAAAAAGTGGAGTAAAGCAGTCAGTACAGCTTGAGCCTAAGTGTGTCGCAGGATACACTCTAGGTGATAGTTCTTGACTACTTCTTGATAAATGTTTCGTTCTTATTGCGAAATAGGGGCACTATTTATCAATCTGTAAAACCCAACAAGAAGTTTGTAAGAAAAGGAAGTTTGTAAAGAAATTATATTCTGCAATTTTCAAAAACCCGAAAAACTCACAAGTTCCAGTATTGATTTCATTTTGCAATCTATTTTGAATAATTGCATTGGCAGCTAATTTTTACAGAGCAAAAATTTGTGCTCCCGCAGAAGTTTCGGTTACTATCATCAGAAGTCACTATTAGACGTAAAGTAAAAATGTAACCCGATTAGGAACCTCTATTAATTCTGAATTTATCATTCCCTCCATTTGCGCAGTTATTTCTTAATTTCACCGACTTCGTATCTTTCGCAGTTTCATAAATACCCATGCAAAGCAACCTTATTTTGGACACCTCGGGAAGGGACAAAATCATACTTCCTAAAAACACCTTTTTATTCTGTGACTGATTTTTACTTGGTGTAGTGTCCTTTTTCTGAGTTTGGCCACTCTTCAACTTCATTAATTGCCGGGGGGTTAATTGGATTTGTATGGTAGTTAGAATTTTTTACTTCGGGGTCATCAGTTTGAAGTTCATGTTTATTTTTATTGTTTATCAAAGGGACCGCAAGTTGCAAGCCGAGCGGAATCGTATTGGGTTCAAGTTCAGCGAGCAAAATTTCAATATCTCGGACACTAACGTCAATTGTTATCTATCAATTAGGTATGAGCACGATCCGCTTGCAATAACATAAACAGGGTCAACAGTTGTTCCTCGTTATGGTTTGGGGTGCTGCTTGATTCCATTCACCCATATTTTCCACTTTTAAATTGTGAGGTTATTCTGCAGCGTTTGTAACGATGGGAGGTTGACGTACTCTGATGACCTCTGTGTTTGGATCTTCTGTCCATGATGATTGTAAATTGTGTAAGTAATTAGCAACCACTTCTACTGTGTAAGGAGCATTTTTATTAAAAGAAGAAGAAACACGCATAAATTAATCAAACATGTCTAATAAATATAAACAAAATGGTCATAATCACTAAATTGTTTCAAGATTTACCCATACTTTTCCTCGAGTGTTCAAAATGAGTCCAGATTTTTCAAAGCTGAACGGCATCTTAGTCTTCTCGTTTAATGTTATCTTGAAATTCCGAAGGATTGAAATCAAACCAACTTTTACCTGCAATATTCCAAGACGCTTCCCTACAAACAGTTTCCTCATGAATACTTTATAGTTGCATGTACAGGCTAAGGCTGCACGCATTTGATATGAAATCCGTTTTAGTTGCATCCTCACAAGATGTGAAATTCCATGTTATTGCATGTTGTAGGTTGTTAATTTTTATAATATTCTAATTTCCATAAGTTAGTTTAGTGGTCTAACGTGGATACAAAAGTGTTAGTTATCGATTAATTATTCATTCAGTAATTTGGGAGAAAGCCATTTTACGGTGGCCCAGCTTGTAAATTGTAAGAAGTTGAGAACCGAAATAAATGAGAGTTAGCCTAAATTTGAGGAAATTTGATTGGTAATATCAAAGGCAAATAAAGCTTCAAAACATGCTTTTTCCATGCATGCACATCGTTGAAACTCAACTTTGTTGTGTGAAAACGTATTACCATATTCGTTGTGTCTAATAAATTTTGCTATTGCATTATTCTCTAATAAATAGTTAAATAAATTTAAGAAAACCTTTCTTCACAAAAGTCGCTTTTTATTTAAATATAAGGATTTGCCTTATTTTAGCTCTTGGTTCTTACCGACACAACTTCTTGGCCCTTCACCAAACGGAACGAATGAGCAAAATGGTCTTTTCGCCATATTTTCCGACGTAAATCGCTCTGGATCAAAACGCATTGGATCTGGATAATATTCAGGATCGTAATGAATTCCCATGTTTGTCGCCATTATCAGTGTTCCTTTCTCAATGGTAAGTTTACTATCCGGTATTGGATAATCGCTTTCACATACTCTTGGAAGAATGGGTAGTACAGGATACTTCCGTAATGTTTCTGAAGTAAGACGCAAAGTTTTACAGGATTGATAACTATCATTTGTTTTTCAATTGGTTCAAGAATAATTCATCCGCAATCAAATATGGCAATTATGTGCGTACGTTTGGGATTATATTATTCATAAATTTTATCAGGATTAAAAATTAACATTAAGGATTTTCTATTGGCTATAAACAACACATAAAACACGATCAAGTATGATTTTGAGAATAATACAGTTTGGATTCAGTTTATGCGCATGTTGCAAAAGAAAGTCTTTTCTACACATTAACAGCTACTTACGTTTATTAAAGTATATAGAGAATTAATAAAAATACTGGAAGCATGAAGTTAGGAGAAATAAGTAGACAATAAACTGCAGCCAAAAGATCTCGAAGCTAAAAAAGTAAGGTAAATCGTATTACATATGAAGAAAATGTGAAAAAACATATAGCTTGTTGAACAAGTAATCTAGCAATATTTCCGGTTTATTTTTTGATAGGAGAGACGTTTGTTAAAAAATCTTTAAAAGTGCCCTATAGGTTCTGAGTTAATTAAAACGTTTTAGTTTCCTAACAAAATAAATCGAAAAGGAGATTGCAACTGACATACTCGGTGCTCTAAACGTTTTCAAAGATTTTATATTAACAAAAAAATTGGAAAAAGTCAAACTCTCAAATATAACTATACTATGCAATCACGCTAATAATTTTCAATTTTAATTTACAGACTTACCTTTAACAACTTGATCCAAATAGTTCATTTCGGTGATTGCATCGTAATCAAGAACACCATTAAATCTGCTTAAAACAGTATTGATTTCATTTCGCAATCTATTTTGAATATCTGAATAGGCAGCCAGTTCATACAGAGCAAAAGTTTGTGTTCCTGCAGAAGTTTCGTAGCCGGCTTCAAAAAACAGGTGCATTTGAGCAGCAAACTCTTTTATTGTTAGCGGTTCTGGTAGACTATTACCACTATTATCGGAAACAATTTTAGTTTTGTCGCATAGGTCAATTAATATGTCGGTCAAATCGTTTCTTCTTATTTTTTCCACTGCTCTTTGAGTTTTAATATTGGCAAAGAAGTTTATGAAATAATTTGTTACATGTGTTGGAAACACCCTGAAGTTGAAAAATATAAGAATGTTCCTGGGAATTAGCAGTACCAAGGTGTTAAAAAGTCGACATAATTGTATATCAAAGAATGCTCTTGCCTGCTTCATTAATTCAGCATTTTTATTTTTCAGACATTCAGTTTCGATTCCAAAAAGGGAAGCGGATGTTACGTCCACGGTAAATCTACCCAAAACACTCTTAATGTCAATTGGTAATTGAGACTCTGCCATATTTTTTAGTCTGTTGACTAATAGTTTGGTAATACTGTCCATGACATCCATGTGGTTCCTCAATTTGCTTGAAGAGAAGGCTGCGGGGATTTTAGAGCGCACGTGCTTCCACTTAATGCTTTCCAAATTGAAGAGATGCCCAGACAGTGGGTCGATTTTTTCGTTAATATAAAAACCGTGATTTCGAAAATTCGAAAAATCTGTAACCAATATTTTCTTAATCAGCTTATTATCGATTGGTATGAAAACGGGTTTGCTGCCGAAATAGGCACCTCCCATATCCCAACCCTTGGCTTTCATTTCCAGATACCAGTCGCCAAAAAGTTCTCCTAAACCCCTTTTTCCAAGAAAGAAACTTTGAGCATTTCCAAATGGGATGGTTGGCTCCAGGAAATTAAATTTTCGTTTTTTCCAATAAGAAAAAGTGTATGTAGAGAAGGTTATAGCAGTAGAGAAAATTATTAAGAGTAAAATTATGATGATAATAACGAGAGCCGCTGGAACCAGTGACATGTTTTCTGCAAAAAAAAAAACAGGCGATTTAGTTTCCAAGCATCTCATGTTGGAGATAAATCCAGGATTAAGTTTTTTATATAGTTTGTTCTTTTTATATAATCATTCATTACGTTTCTTGCACATATTAAATATTCTACTTAACCGGCTATTTTAATTTTAATTCATGTCGATAAAACTAGATATCTAGTTAAACGCCCGAATTTTCTCGCCAATATTTCTCTGTTCAAATTTTCCGAACAATCGCGTCCCATTAGTTGGTGTTATGAAGTTGAAGAGTTAAAGCTTAATCTTCAGCTCATTGATCATTTAACTATAAATTTAATTTAAAAACTTATACACAATATAACTTCTGAAAACTTTTTTACCTTGTTCAATGTGCTGCTCGTCAATTTTGTGTTCTCTGTGCAACAATTTCTTGTCTATTTGTTTCGGCTTTCTTTGGCACCTACTACTTCAATATTGTGTGGTCTTCAATCTTAGTGTGAAGTAACTTAAACTGATTATGTACTAAGTGCCAGACAAATTTACAAAACACTAGGCTCTTGGCAATTAATAGAATCCATAGACAGGGTGTCCAAGTAAAGATTGCATTGGAGTCTAGGCTGGTGCAAAAAACTTAATAACAGGCAAGGACCAGGTGGAAAATGTTGTTGAGGATATGAATCTTGTCTTGTGTTCTTGTTAAGTGTATAAGTGGTAATTTTAATCGTTGTAATGTACAATTTAAAATGATCTATGTGACTTGGTGGTTGATTTATCGTTAAACCGCTTTTACTTTTGCTGATCCAATTAATTTTTGTGAGCAAAAAAATTACAGGCAAAGACCAGGTGGAAATTGTTGCTGAGGTTCCAACTTTAAGAAAAAAAAAGTTTAAACGTGAAAAAGACTGTGAAAAGACTTGGACGTGGAAGGGGTTTCCAATTAATCTAATGTAGATGCAATTTAGGGGTTGATAACTGTTTTTTTGCAATTAGCCGCGAATCGTGTCTTCCAAGCGGAAAACGTTCAATACAAAACTTAATCGTCAAAAAACTAAAGTACATTTTCCGCATGTTTCGCGCTACTTACTGTAATAAAATTCTTTCAATTGTAATAATATTTTATCAAAGCAAGTCATATTACTAGAATATACTCCACTGCTGTGATAATAGAAATAATGTAGAAAATCGACAATTATTGAAAATATTGAATAAATCATGATTCCGAAAGACTGTCGCAGACATTCTTGCAACAAACGAATGTTAAACACACCCTGAATACCGCATTTGAAAATAAAACCCATCAAAACTGTTGATCCTCCGAAATAATTTTTGAAGTGCCCGAACAGGCGGACAAGGGAAGAAATTTGACTCAGTAGTCCGCTACTGGTCTTTATCTATGGTGGGTAGTCCGCACCCGAAAATCGTACGCGAAGCATCGCTCCCACAGGCCCTTGCGTGCACCCTCTCCTTTTTTATGGTATATCCGGTGTCTAAGTTGGCAAGGGCCCCTATAGTAAATTATGGGTTGATTGTTCAATAAAGGACGCAGTACCTCAGTGATTGGAATAACAACTCGTCATACAAACCACAACCCCGACCTCCTAAAGGTCTTTTTAACTAAAAATTTGCAATGTTTGAAGCTCAACCGGTCTAGTTGTCCAGGACCAACTTAAAAAACGGCATACCAACAGACTTCTAAGGGGGCTGACAGGCTCCAAAAACAGTAAGTTTTAAACTTAATTCTCTTTTTGGAGGCCAATATTTCACCGTCAAGGACTAACGGTAGTGGTGCATGTGCAACCAGTGCGTTCTTTTGTGTCAATTTGTAACACTTAAAGACTAATTTTGACACTTTTTGTTTTATTGAAAGTTAGTTTAAATAGACTAAACAATACTTTTTCGTTTTCATTATTTGTCATATCCATTCTTAGTTTTAAGTTAAAGATAAGTTGCTTTTTGTAAATTAGATGTAGGAAACATTGTAGGTTTAGAGATTTATTGTGTAATTAAATGTTTCAAAGCAGACATTGTTCATGTTTTTGTCGTTGCAGTTTTATTAAAGCTCAAAACGGATATAAATTAAAATTCACCCGTGGAAAAATGTATTCCACTGATAAGTGCTAACACTGTCAATGCAAATAATTTAGAGACTATTCAGTTTTTTGCAATTTTTGCTTTACAACGATTAAAATGATCACTAGTACACTTTCCAAATACAAAAAAAAATCAAGACAATTGCTTCAGGAAGATTTTCGACAAATCTACATAACTCGAAAGCTAGTGGCGTCCTGATCTATAAAACAATCATGCGTATTCACCATCAAAGAAAACATCCATTTGCAAATTTTCATGTACATAAAATCATTTATGCGCTAGAAAAAAGTTAAATGCTACTGAAAATTGGTTGCTCTCCATTTTCACGTTTAAAATGATATGTCAAAAACTGTTAAATAGCAACGTTTTAATTTTTTGTATTAACCACAAATCTACCATTGAACCTTTCCCCACGTTTTCCCGCAAATCGCAAAAATCTGTTAACAACCGTTAAACTCCATGATTTATTCACTATTTCCAGTGTTTTCGTGGTGGAATTTTATTTTTGGCTTAAAGGAACCTCCACAACCTTTTCCACCTAGTCCTTGCCTGTTATTCGTTTTTTTATTAAATGAAAAATACAGGACACCCTGTAATGACAGTAAATTGTTTCTAAACTGAAGTCATTATCAGATGCTTCACATGACCTACCATCAATCGGTGGAGATTAATACTAGAGAAATAATAATATTTTTCTATTTTTGTCGATTATAGTACGTTGCAGGAACCAATTTTCTACGACTTCCGATAACCCGAAGAACTCACTAGTTTCAGTTTTGATTTCATTATGCAATCTCTTTTGAATATCTGGATACGCAGCCAATTTATGCAGGGCAAAAGTTCGTGTTCTCGCAGAAGTTTCGTAGTCGACATCAAGAAACAGGTGAATTTGAGCAGCAAACTCTTTGATTGTTAGCTGTTCATTACAACTATTATTGGAAACAATTTTAGTTTTGTCGGTTAAATCAATTAATATGTCGGCCAAATCGTTTCTTCTTATTTTTGCACTGCTCGCTGAATTTTAATATTTGCCAAGAAGTTCATGAATTAATTTGTTACATGCGTGGGAAACACCTTGCAGTTGAAAAATAGAAAGATAAAAGAATGCTCGTGGTGATTAGCAGTACCAGTGTGTTAAAAATTCGACATCATTGAATGTCAAAGAATGCTCTGGCCTGCTTCATTAATTCAGCATTTTCATTTTTCAGGTTCGATTCCAAAAAGGCAAGCGGATATGACGTCCACGTACGTTAAATTTCGTTTTTTTTCAGTAAGAAAAAGTGTACCTGCAGAAGGTTATAACAGTAAAGTAAATAATGAAAAGTAAAATTCTGATGATAATCACGAGAGCAGCTGGAACTGGAAACATATTATCTGCAAAAAAATCGAGAATTGAGTTCAAAACGCACTCGTATTTAGTACCTTTGCTTTAGCACTAAAAGCTCGTTACACTTTTTAAATGGAAAATTCAATATTTTCAAAAGTTTTGGAACGATGGTGATGTTTTATTCAAAATTTTTTAACTCTTCTAATTTTTTTTGGACATATACCTTATGGTTGGAGCATACATAACGTTTTTTAGGCAACAGGGGCAAGTTGCTAAATATTTCCATATGCAAAAGAAACCTATCAATTTTGTTTACTAAAAAGTGAAAGTACAACTATTGACTAATAAATATGCGGTCGTTTTCCAATTAATCTAACCGGACAATCATTCAATTAAGATTATTTCAGTAGTTAATCCCTAGCTTAAATTTTAGGTTCATTATTTAAGACTATATTTTCGAATAGTTGCAATTTTGCAGATTACTACAACTTCGAGTAAGTAACTACTTACTATAATTATAAACCAACCTAAATTATTATAGTGTTTTCTTCACACTGCAGAACGACAATGATACTTTAAATTACTTTACTTAGTTAATTAAAAAATAATTAAAAGTCTAATCGCTAGACGAATTTTATTGATTGGGCGCCCTTGGGTTCCACAATGTGATTTCCCTCAAGTAGTTGTTCATAAACTTGTGTTTTATTGAAATGTTTTCACATGGTTTTATACAATAATCTCATCCATCTGAAATAGGAACATTTTTCGTTTGAGCGAAAGAAATACTAGGGCGCGTAAACAGGGGAAGCTTTTTCAATTAAACCCAAGGGCTAGCTAATGGCTTCTGTAAGCGGAACTTTCCTATGCTATTTTTTATTTTCATCATTTCCTTTTCTTCATATCGGTTATTATTGGACATTATTTCCCCAGCTTTTAGCTCGTTCTGCCAGATTGTGATTGCAGCCTGATTTACTCGAAAAATAACGACCTGAATCAAGCGCTTTATGGATTTTTCGGTCGTAATTTCGTCATTGTTTAGGTAACTCTGGCAGTCGATGGAATTGGGTCATTTCCTATACGGTATTTTGTGTAATATCATTATGGAGATTTTTTTAAATAAAAATTCTAACATTTAGATTTTGAACCTAATAACTCAAATTTGATTGTTTGAAGCATTTTTATTAGAACATTAGAACAGTTTGCTAAATTATGATTGTGTTGTTCCTTACTTCATATGACTCAAATAATTTTTTTAAATTAATTAACCACAGCAAATTTTACTTAGTTTTCTTTAATACTTATGCAAACATAATTAGTTTTCTTTTAATAAAAAAAAGAGTTAGTGCTGGGCATAGTATTTTAAATAATAATAATAATCAGAACTTATAAATTAGTAAATTGTAACCTAAACATTAATGTTCTTTTTGTGCATTGTACGAATGCACATTTTTTGATTAAGTAGTTGGATGCGTAGTAAATTAAAGTTTATAAACTAAAAACTTATTTTTTCTATAGGCCAGGCGAATTACGACGAAATCTTTCAAATATGGTTCTAACGTGACGTAACTTAGATAACTATTGGAATCGCTCGGGAATAGTATACCAATTGAAAGTATCGAGGTGCGCCAGCTTGAAAAGTTGTGCTATTTGCATAAACAACGAAAAACTGAAAAAAAAATGCGAAAATCGTGTTTTTCTTCGGGAACAATCGCATATAACTCGGTAAGTATGCATTTTGCAGAAAAAATATATACTCATTAATTTCTTCGCTATGAAATGTTCGATAATATAGAGTTGGTTCGATATCCGACCGTTGGGAATGTTCGCTGCAAAATGCTCGAAAGTGCAACAAAACTAGGTAAAAAACAGGGTAATTTTAAATTATTTATTTGACAATGCAAAAATAACCCAATGTGAGAAATGTAACTATAAAAATTGAAATCATCGTTTTTCTACCGCCACTTAAATAAAATCGTCAAAATCGGTGCAGTAGAAGCCGAAATACATCCTCATGAAGCGAGCACGCCGATTTCAAGTTTCCCAGCCTATCCCCACCCTTCCAAATTTCGGATCCGAGCGCGCACTATTCAATGTTTAAACAAATTTTTGGGCGTGATGCACACGTGCAATGTAATTTTTTAAAGCAGATGCGAAAAGAACTTGTAAAAATCTATCGACTGGTATATATTTTACTGTTATGTCGTTAACCGTTACGCGGTATACGCTGCCCAACTTTGGAAGTTAATATCTTAACATCTACTCAACCAAATTGAATTATTTTTTTCACAAAGAAGCGTCTTTCCGAGTACTATCTTTCCGTACTTTCCTATTTTTTCCCACTTGCAAGTCCCGCTTCACAGGTTAATTTGTTTATAAGCCAAAATTTTCAAACTTTTTAAAACCGCTGAAAAAGTAATTAAAAATTGTAAAATGGTTAATATAGCAATTGTATAATACAGTTTAAGGGTCCAAGGAGGGGTGAAAGCGCGGGCGCAAAAAAATATTCATAACTTTGAGCCTGGCACAAAATTTAAAAAAAGGTAATTTTTTCAGGTAGGTTAATTAACAATTGCATTATGCAAAAACCGTCCGTCCCATATTAATCGGCCTTGCGGCTCTCGTATTGTATTGTAGTACTTTTCTCTAAATGCATGGCGTGATTGGGTTATTTTTTCATTGTCAAATAAATAATTTAAAATTACCTTGTTTTTTTTAATTTTTTGTTGTTTTTCGTTGTTTTTGCAAATAGCACAACTTTTCAAGCTGGCGCACCTCGATATTTTCAATAAGTATACCATTCCCGAGCGATTCCAATAGTTATCTAAGTTACGTCAAGTAAGAACATGCCAATCTGTAACTCGCCTGGATTATTCATATTGAACATGTCATTTTGACCCTAGTTTAATTGGTTAATGTTCTCGTCAGTGAATAATTCAAACTATATGTAGTATTTTACAAACGTTCGACAAGATAAAACTCTACGAATGTACATCGCGCATTGCTGAATAAGATAAGTCCACATTTGCAGTTGATTATCAATTTCATGGGTACCGATTAATTAACAACTCCTATTAGTTGAGATCCCCGATCAATATAATGTGATAATCGTGACTAATCACTGCATCCCAAAAGTACACGATTTAATTAAATTTACTCTTGAAATCGATCGACAATACAAACTTATTTTCAACTCGGCAAAGCTTTGTTTCCAAAATAATACTTCCTTTCTACTCCGATCTTAGCACTGGAATGGTTAATTACTTCAGAAACCACTTAAATGCGAAAATTCAAACTGAAATTTAAACTTCCGACTAATTTATTTCAAGTCCTACTACGTACATTACATAATTCAACTTGGCAATTGCAGGAGTGTTGGAACAGTGCACATGCACGTTTGCCACTGTCAAATTGCCTTTTTACCTGGAACTTTCCAAACGACCCAAACAGGAAAATTAGCACTACACGTTTTCCTTTCATAAAAACGTCACGTTTCGCGCTATACATTTGGGAGAAAAATTAGATTTGCTTTCCTGTATTGACAAATTTATTTTAAAACATGTCTCAATCTTGACGCATTATCTTGCTAAGGCGACAGAAGTATACTCATATATTTCTGTTTATTAAGGACGAGCCCAAAAAGAATAAATGAATATGTGTTTTCAGTTTTCAATCACCTCATGTTCGTATAGTGTGGCCGAAACGCCTGCGAATCTTTTATTTCTCCAGATTTAACACGCATCAAATTTTGATCAAAACGCAAAACACTAAAGTGACTTAATTCTACTTTTTATATTCACATTCATAAAAATTGCACATAATTTCCTTTGGTTTGTATTTCCAGTTTGTTTTTTAAATAACCTGGAATTATATCACTAAAAGTTAAATTATTTAATTGAATATTGACATGGTTTAAAATTAATAGACGTCTAAAAACAAACACTACTTTACATTTTGGTGAAATACTTTCAAAATAATCCAGCGGAAAAATATCAAAGTGTTTTAGAATTTTGGTTTCCATTTCAAAAATCGTTCAGAAGCAAGATGATGATGAATAAATAAAAAGCAATTTTAAAAGTGTATCAGTAATCTGCTAAGCAAATATGTGTTTCATGTTAATAGAAAGGTCGACAAAAGCCATTAAACAATACAAATATACATTATTCCTATAACAAATAACATGTTTAAGAACTAGCTAAGGAAATATTTGATGAACGTTATTTGAAAAGTCCAAACTCAAGCCCTTTTCGGAACTCTTTGAAAAATAACGGTTTCAGATTTTAAAAAATAATAAAAAAATGTTTTTGTCAAAACAAAACTGAAGAGAATAGGCGAACGCGGTATGTTTAAGTGAAATAATAAATGCAAATAAAGCCGGATTATGTGGCAAGTTCAATACTTAAAAATGCGAGTAGAAATTTTGTAGTAGCTAGTAGGGTTTCCCAGCCTTATGCATAGAACTATTGAAGTAATTATTTTAAATCAACGGACTTGTTACCTGCTTGAATTAATTTTGAAAAATAATAAGTAAACTAAATATTAACTTGCTTTATTGTGATTTTTATTTGTTTTTACCCATTTATGTAAATTTACTTACTCGTTCTTGATATATAGGATCTCCATATCAATATATTTACAAAATACAACGACACGGGAATTACGTATAACGAACGATAGACAGACTTTTTAAAAACAGGTTTATTCCTTTAATACAACTGTTCAGGTCGAGGTTAGAAGCAAGAATTAATATTACTATATTTATACATTAAAATGAAAGATTGGTTAAACTTATTGGTCAGCAGTTCCCAGGGGTTCAGGTGTGAACCTTGGCGACTTCTAGCGGAAGATGGCTGCGGC